TACCTCTAGTACCAAATTCGTTATGTAATTAATATAGTAATTAGCCATAAAACTAGCCCGATGGATTTACGGCGTACGTTTGGAGATTAGCTATTACATCGGGTTTAGCGATGATTGTAGATATTTCTTCTGACATCCATTCTTTCTTTTTTAATGTTTTCTCAGGTTTTAGATTTTGTTCCACTACATTGTTTATAGTTTTCCTCACATTATTTCATAATTCTGGTACTAATAGATGATTTATCCCAAGATTTTTTCAGTATATATAAAAAGATTAAAATTTAAAATGTAAGAATAATTGAAAATAAAACATAAATAGTTTTAATTTTAAATCACTATTCTCAATGGTAAAACTATAAACATTAAGAAATTAATAGGTAAAATTAAATTTATTTTAAAAGATTGTTAGAAAAGAAATGTATTTACTACCCTGAATAAAAATATGGAATATTTTGTAATTACTGCAGAAAAATTATTTTGATCGTTAAATAATCAAACAGAAAAATATTGAAATGTTAATAATTGGCAAATATAATAGGCATATTAGAGTATTTACATACCAAACGTCATAGAGATTTTAGGGTATCTTCTAGGTCTGTGGAGTTGGTAGATTTTTACACGACTCTGACTCCAACTTTTCCTTACGATTCAACTTCAACCAGGGGCTGACTTGTTAACAAAGTAGGCCTGAAAATTCTGATGTCATCACGTGACCTCAGAATATAAGCTTCAATAAATATAATAATAATAAAGTTAGAATGTAGAAATTTTTTTATTCCAAAGCTAAAATACTTTTCTAAGTAATGACATAGTCAATATATAAATATATATTTGATAATTTTTACTTTTCTGGCTGTTATATATAACAGAGGAAAAGTATCAATTGGTTAAAAAATGATCCTACTCTAAATTTTTGCATTTTTGGATTCAGGACACCTTGAAATGTCGAGATATGCAAAAGATTCAGGTATTTTTCTGTATATATGAATGTTACTGTATGGGAGGCACGATTTTGAATTTGAGTCAGATGGTTTAACACAGGAGTTATGCGTCAAAATGGTTGAACTAAATTGGTTGGTACACATTCTAACATCCATGTGTACAGAAAAAACCCCAAATGCTTTTGCACTTCTCTACATTTCAAGGCTTCTCGAGTCCAAAAGAGTAAAAATCTGAGTCATTTTTTGACTGATCGTTATTCTTTTCCTTTGTTATAGGCCTATATTGTATAACTGCCGGGAAAGTCATAATGATGACGATTCTGATTATTTTTAAAAAATTCAAAATAAAACTAATTAATTTAAACATTAAAATTTGACACATCTACTGAATATATAAATTCACATTTATTGACTTGTTTGATGATGGCAATGGCATTTGGTAAGCATGTATGATTAAAATTGTAAATACATTCATACAGAAACAAATTTGTTTAATAAAAACGTTGTACATATGATACGAGTATATTGTGAAATATATAAATATACAAATATATTTAACTAAGCCAAGAATAAGAAAAATAACATTTAGACTGGTAAAGAAAAAGATTGCTAATTTTGCCATGTTGATTAATTTATTATTTTTCATTTCTGTTATAAACTGAATTATTCCTTACAAAAAAAATCACTTCTATTAAGTCAGCATTCACTGAAACTCTTAAAATTCATATTTAATCATTTTAAGAGTGGAAAATAAATGTTCTACTGAAACTTGATTGGTGGCAATGCTGTATCTTGGATAATGTCTGGATTGTGCAGTATTGTCAATTTAACATCCAAACTTGAAGAATGGTCAGTGTGATTTCTTTTTTCCAGTTCATAGTAAATATCATCATAAATTTTGTAAGATTTCCTTTTCTGTCTGTACTCATATTAGAACTCAAGCTTAATTTTGAGGGTAGAGAGAGACAAGTTTTATTTTAAAAAAAACTAGCAGATGAGCCAGATGTTGCTTAGGAAAAAAGTAACAATAATGAAGATTAAGATTATTAGATTATAGCCGATCTTACCCGTTTTCACTGGGTGCAAGAATTAGGTCCCCCTCTTCCAAGACTAATTAGAGAATTTTTAGATGGGTCTAAAAGTATGTTCGATTTTTTACAAAAATGCATCTAAAATAGTACAGTAGAAACGGAGTTCTTCAGGGTAATCCTCAACCCTCTCCCTGTCCCCCTGTGAGAGGAATTTCAAAAAATCCCTTCTTAGTGTACATTCTTATGACGTATCCTAACCGTGTACCAAATTTCAACTTTCAACTCCTAACTGTTTGAACTTTAAGCTTATTGTTATTATTAATCCATCTCAATTATATTATAAGATTGTGAATGCTAATAATGAATAAAATATTAAGTCTGACCACACTGGAGATATGACACATGACCCTTCTATGTTTCTACCCTGTTGACCTTTAATTAAGAACCAAAATTTAATAGNGAACTCAAGCTTAATTTTGAGGGTAGAGAGAGACAAGTTTTATTTTTAAAAAAAACTAGCAGATGAGCCAGATGTTGCTTAGGAAAAAAGTAACAATAATGAAGATTAAGATTATTAGATTATAGCCGATCTTACCCGTTTTCACTGGGTGCAAGAATTATGTCCCCCTCTTCCGAGACTAATTAGAGAATTTTTAGATGGGTCTAAAAGTATGTTCGATTTTTCACAAAAATGCATCTAAAATAGTACAGTAGAAACGGAGTTCTTCAGGGTAATTCTCAACCCTCTCCCTGTCCCCCTGTGAGAGGAATTTCAAAAAATCCCTTCTTAGTGTACATTCTTATGACATATCCTAACCATGTACCAAATTTCAACTTTCAACTCCTAACTGTTTGAACTCTAAGCTTATTGTTATTATTAATCCATCTCAATTATATTATAAGATTGTGAATGCTAATAATGAATAAAATATTCATTAAGTCTGACCACACTGGAGATATGACACATGACCCTTCTATGTTTCTACCCTGTTGACCTTTAATTAAGAACCAAAATTTAATAGCATTAATGCCCTTTATACACATGCTACTGTGCCAAATTTTATTTCTTAAAGTTTGCTCATTCTGAAATATCGTTTAATATTTCAGAACAAAATAAAGAAATTAAACAAATTAGACATATTCATGCAGATGTGAATTTTTCCCTTATTTTTTTGGGGGAGTTTGAGAGATCTCTAAACATATAGATTTGGGAAAAAAAGTGGAGGGTCAAATGTGACAGAATTCAGATACTTTTACATAAATTCAGAAAGTAAACAGAAGTCTGGGTTGGGGATTTTTGACGACTCTGACTCCACAGCCCTGGTATCTTGCAGGGTGTGTATAATAGAAATGTAAAGAATGCACAAGTGCTATTCATCAATTTTTTATTATTTATTTATTTTTTGTTACTATACCTAAAAACCAAGTTTGTAAGCAGTTCTTTAAACTTTGCAAACCTCATGAAATCAGTTCATTTAAATTTTTATATTTGTATAACAAACATTGCAAAGCCCAATATGTATATAGAAACATCAAACAATCGCCTAAATATTTGGGCTATAATTCTGCTAATTTAAATAATTAATACTATTTGTTATATATTATTTAATTAATTATTAAAATTATAATTATTAATTTAGTTAAGAGATGGCACCTAATATCTACATTTAGTAGCAAATTACTTGCTATTACTTATTTAAATTAGCAGAATTACAGCACGATTATTTAGGCGATTGTTTGGTGATGTTTCTATTTTTATATTCTTTTACATTTTTAGATTTAATAAGTAATTCAGTCTTATTACACATCATAAGACTTACAATCTTAAAATGCAATAAAATAGTATTTTAAAACCACTCAAAATCAAACTTTATAAATTGCAATCACTTTATGCATTTTTATTTTTTAAAGTTCAGATAATTATTACAGATATTTANGACAGACCTCAGAAAAATACTTTATGAGAGCTTTTATACTTTTATAAAGCTGTCTATAATGAAAATTAATTAACTAAGGATTTTTTTGCCCTGCCAGGGTGTGGCCGAGTTATCCGGAGTGCCGGGTTATCGAGAGCCGAGTTTTCGAGGTTCTACTGTACTGTTTTATTTTGTCAATGTGCTGTACTGTAAGGGACATGAAGGTCAGGAAATTTGTTCAAAGTTGGTCGAGGAAAGTCAAGGAATTTAAAACAAAAATTTGAGTAGGAACCCTGTACATCATCACTTCACTCACTGATGATGTGACCTTATTCTTTTTGGTGGGAGGGGTTAAGAGGTGCTTCAATTGTACACTAGTGTGCATTGATTCTGGATCAGTGTTAGACCATGTCTTCTTTCCTGTCACAATTCAGCCCAGGAAAGTTTCCCCCTTTCCATACATCAAATGCTGCAATGATAAGGCTATTTGAGTTGCCTTCTGCTGCCCTGACAGATTGTAAGGTACTTATTGTGCACACATTTTGGAAGTATGGACAGTTATGCAAAATCTCCTGCATAGTACTGAAGCTCAATTTACATGGTTTTACCTGCCAAGGAGAATGTGTTCTCCTTGGCATGTAAAACCATGTAATTGAACTTCGCCTGTTTCATGTTTGCTGGTGTAACCACTGTTTTTGACAACTTGGTCACTTCTTGTTCTTACATTGTCCATCTCTCACAACTCTCTCCCATGCTTTCATTTGGGCATGCAAAAGTTTCTGTTCTCTATACACATTTTGCCTGCATCAGTGAATCTCTATAGGTCCAGTCTCTTTTGTAGTTAGAAACCATATTATGGTACAGTACATTGCTCTACTTAAGATGTTTGCATTCTGCTGTAGTATTATGAATTCTATTGATTGGCCATTCTGCTGTTTATCTTATTTATACCTCTCAATTCTTATCAGGTTTCATCATTATAAAAATTACTTTTGTAGCACTGCATTCATTAGCAGATTATTTATTGATCATCCCTTGTAGATAATAAGTTAGTATTGTAATTTTTTTAATTAATAATAATAAATGATTTATTTACAAAATCTTCTTGCTAGATAAAAGAAATTATAGGTAAAGGGAGAGGTGTTATTTCAAAACGATTAATTAAAAGAGGAGAATTTGTTCTTGAATATCATGGTGATCTGATTGACATGGAAGAAGCTAAAAAGAGAGAGAAAATATATTCCAAAGAAGAAAATACTGGTTGTTACATGTATTATTTTCATTATAATAATAAACAATATTGGTAAGTGTAGAACTTGTATAAATTTCTTCTAATCCGATAGTATATTTATTTTTAGATTTTCTTATATGTATCTTGTCTTTTTCTACTAATGAAAACTGGATATGTGTAAACTAAAATAATACCTTAATTCTCCAATACAAAACAAAACTGACTAACATTTTGATCTAAGACTAAAATCTTTATCAAATCAATTAATGTGTGAGACTAATCAGGGGTAGGATGTTTACGAGGATGTTCCTCTCCTACCACTTACTCGACTCAAGACCTTGAGGTCCGGTCTCGCTTGTCTGAAGGATGGGGGAAAAGGGTTAGGAGAAAGGATCGTTAGATTCTTTCACCTGTCAGGATCTGACACCAATCTATCAATTTATCGCGGATAGATACGCGGATGGATGGGAAATTATCACGAGCGATCTCGTCGAGGACTTTGGGTTCAGTATGGAGTGGAAAATGTCGGAAGAAACGCACACCAATCCAAATTTGTTAACAAAATACCCGTTTATTCCGTACATTTATACATAGTTAATAAGTGGAATACAAATCCCTCTCGGGTTCAATCCGTATAGTTCATAAAGTAACGGCAAAGTATAAAATAGTCGCGACCCTACCCGCGAGGTTCGAATATTCGAGAGAGAGCTTACACATCATCGCGTGTAGGATAAATACCTCTGATTAGGTTGTTATAACGTTGATCCGAGGTTCGTCCTTCCAAGTTCAAAGTTCAAATCAGTCCAAAGTTCGAAGTCGAAGTTCAAAGTCTATTAAAGACGGTGGAGACGAGAT